GAAGTGGGGGGGGGGTAGAAACTCCCTCTGGAAGGAACACAAGGATTTTAGCCTCTGCAGACCATTTACATGCACAAAAACCTATAACAGTCTACAGGAAAGGGGAAAAACTCATAGTTTAAAAAGGGCCCCTTTAAATAATGACCAGTTAGTAAGTTTTGTACCATAGAAAACTCTAAAACCAGAAAATATTAGCTTAAAATATACTTCCCTAAAACAAATAACCAGTTGCTTGTTTAATTGATTCATTTGCTAATAGATTCTGTTTAAATTACCAAATACCTTTATATGTAGTGTTAGCATCCTGCAGGAAAAACAGAGGGTTCTAAAGGGTCAAAGTAGCAGAATTAAAACACTTGTATGAGAAATATAACAAAATACAACATGTGTGTTATTTTATCTGTGTAATAAATGAGTGGAACATGAATCATTCCATAAGCTGAAGGCGGAGGTATCTGGACAGCTTGAAACTCTCCAGGCCTGTGAGGCAGTAACAGTAAATGTCAAGGAAAAGTCCCTATAGCCTATATAACTCTCTCCTGCAGAGCACTTTATCTCCCCCTTTTCATCTCTGCGCTCCAGAGCAAGGAGTGAAGCTGGAGAGGGGCGAGTTAGGTCATGGATCCTGCACAAAGCTGTAGGTAAAACTTTGGGAGTCAGTTTAAGGGTTTTATGGGGCCTGAGACAAGTCTCAGAAGGCGTTTCAATAAAGTCTCTGGTCCCTCTACCTGACTGCACGCTGCCACAGATTCCTGCTGCGTTTGGCAGAATAAAGAGGTGGAGAGCAGTGTACTGTAGCTCAGCAGGAACCTGAGCGGCATGCCAGGCCTCTCACGTCACTACATTGGAGTAAGAACTGAACTCAGAAAGCCTTGGAGGTCGGTCAAACAAGCACAGCTCAAACAAATTAAATCAAAGCACCTAATAAAAGGAGCCAGTTCCTGAAAAGGGCAGTGAGAGGAATGCTATGTCGTACCTGCAGTTCAACCAGCTGGTAACCTTCAGACACTTCCTTTGTTACATAAGGATAAATCTGACGAGCACACGGCCTAATCCCCAACCAGAGGATGAGCGCAGACAATCCCTGACTCAGCCCATCCTGCAATATATTAGAAGTTCCTGAAGGGCAAGACCCCAGCAGGACTGACCCCAAGAATACGATTCTCCGAAAGCTATGAATGTAGTTAATGAGGGGGTGTAACTTAAGATGAGGGACGCTTACATTGATTGAATTCCGTCTCTGTGTTTATATGGGCAGATGACCATTGTTTCAAGACAGAACAGTTGTGCAAGATAGCATTAGCATTGGATGTAAACATGCACAGTACAAACTGTTGTATTGGTGATCAGTCCCTAGTTTAAAATGGCAGTTTGGCACAATATTTGAAAATAAAAATAAATGATATAACTAGGGAAATAACTCAAATTATCATTAATGTGGAGCTAAACAATTCATAATATTGATACAAATAAATATGAATGATATGCATCAATTAATCGTTTGTCAGTTTTGCAAGCTAAAGTCATTTGAGCAAACTTGTTTTGGGCATTTGCCATTTTCTTTCTTTTTCAATTATTTATAAAAAAATAACCAGCAGATGCATCAATTATTAAATAATCTTTAGTTGCAGCTGCAAAATAATGAAAAGGTGTTGAGGAAGATAAACCTGGTCAAATGCAGTGATACAACATTTAAATAAATATTTTTGTGCAGACCACAAAATGAGGATACTGTTATGTTGCCATCAGCTTCTTGCATGTGAAGAAAACAGTAACATGACTGTAGAAGTCACAAAGTCTCTTACCTGAATGGGCTCTTGAGTCAGTTTCATCGGTCCTACACATTCTTCTGTAGCTGAAACCTGCAGGACACAGATGAGAAGAAATGTGAACAAACAGAACACCAAACGCACAACGCAAAACAAGCTGAAAACCCTTCTTACCATTTTATCATTCATGTCCAGAAGCATATTGGCATATTGTTTGTTCTTGCACTTCACCACCTTTAATCTTCTCTCTTACCTCCCTTTTTTAAGTTTAAAAAGTCCAGCAATAAAGCAAGTATTCCCTTGAAAAGAGCAACAGTCTGCTGAATAAACAAATATCAATTCATCCTGGCTGTTTTCATTTTCTAACGCCTCTCCTACCCTGTAGATGTGGATATTTACTCGCAGTGTTAGCCGCCCAGAATGGAACCGTCTACTGCAAAGGTCTTAAGAAAGTATTAGCAGACAGCCGCAGATAGAACTCCCAGGTTTACTTACATAATCCTACTGCAGGAGCATCACACATTGAGCTGTATATATATGCGTGTGTGTGTGTGTTTTCACAGCCTGTCTGGGAAGCTCCAGCAGGCCTCTTAACCCCACGTGTCACTCTGGTGTGAATAAGCAACTCAGCTACATGAGCTCTCAGCATATGTGTGCACACACATGTTTACCCCACACAAGCAGTGAATCAGCGGTGTACCGTATCATACTGCATCATTTTAGCTATGAGTGTCATGCCCAGGAATTAACCATCAGGCATGTTTTCGAGCAAATTCAGTGTTCATGAGTCATTTTTCTCATTGAAAGGTCTTCGTGTGGCTTATGTGATTTTGTTGCTTATGATCGTAAACACGCACTCATAACCCACAGTAGTCTCTTCCCAGTTAAAGACAAATATCTGAGGTATCCAAGAGAGAGGAGGGACAACGAAAGAAGGGGAGGGGATTTATGTTATCTACTCGAGGCACAAGCTCCATAATAATACATGCAACACACAAACTCTAACCAGTCACCAAGACGCAGCTGTGTGACTAAAGCAGTGAGTTAGACACAAGTTGGTGACTCAACCACACATTGGTATTATTTGTCCGTTGGTATTAGGCTGAGAAGTGAACATACTTCCTATCACATCTCTACTAGCCAATAACGTCATTAAGAGCCTTAGTTGCAACACGTTCAACATGTTGCTTTAGTAGAGCAATATGATATTACTGTAAAATAATTGCGGCATTTGTGAGCATTAGTGTTGGACACATGATAATATCTATAACAAAAATTGCAACACGTTCACTGTCACACAATTGGACAATTTCGACATTAAACTCTACCCCGTTACACAATTTGAAACTGCTTTCACACTTGTTTAACATATTTAGTAACATGTTTTTTATTTAGGTAATAATAGTTTAGCCTTTTATTGTGACTTTTTATATAGGTTATGTTGTGTATCCTATAGACAATGTAGATATTTCTACTGTTGATATTAGCAGTCTTTTTTAACTAATTACTAACTATTAATAGCCTTCTAATGCTGTAACACAATAATTTCCCAATTTGGTATAAAAAGAGAACATCCATCCATCTATATACTTGTAACCAGTGCGTAAGCTTGTTTGACCCAAATGTGGCAGTGAAAGTGAAAGGAGCTCTATTATGCTCATTTTCAGGTTCTTATTTGTATTTAGTTCCTCTACTGTGACACATTTAAATGCATTCATGTTCAAAAAGCAAATGTTTTCCCTTCATACTGCCTGTGCTGCAGCACCTCTTTTCACCCTCTGTCTGAAACCAGAGCCCAGTCTGCTCTGATTGGTTAGCTTGCCTGTTCTGTTGTGATTGGTGAACCGCTTAGATTTTTGCCCGCCCCTAAGCCTCTCACGTACAATGTGTTGCAGCCCTGGCCAATAGAAGCGCAAGTGTTAAATAGTGATGTCACAATGTTACATAATTAAACAAAGGACTACAATTGGAGTGCTGGGAACTTTGGGATTTTAACCTTTGCAGACCGTTTACATGCACAGAAACCTATATCACAACATATGAGAAGCAGTTGTGTCGTCACAGTCATGTGGACCTCACATCAATATTGTTTGTCTCAGAGTGAGGAAGAACTTGGAAGTCTGAGCTGGATTCACTTTAATGTTGTCAGAGATCATGATGGGGTCCAACGAGGCAAAGAAATGAGGTCAATCGAGTAAGAGATGACCTAAGGGAGAGCTAAACTACAGAACCACAGAGTCAGTATGAGAACAAGCAGCATCTGGTGGTTCAGTGTTGAAGGCCAAAGACTTGTGAGATAAAAAGACTGAAGGGACTAAATCATTATTGAGTGCTCCAGTGACAACAAGAAGCACAGACTCCAGAGATGTCAGAGAAAATGAGTAATCGTGTTGTACTTGAGGACGACATAGCCAGATGTGAAACAGAACAGGAAGGAAGGCGCTGGAAAAAGAGAACAATTTGGAGAGCGATCAGTCAGTACATTTACAGTAAGACTATGATTAAAGAAGTGTTGGGTGAATCTGTCACAAGACACCATCTCTACTTAGAGAAGCTGATCAAATCCTCACAGAAAGAAAGGAAGGGGAAATAGGTGAAGGAAGATTTACACAGACAAGAGCCTTAGATTACAAATGAATAGTACAAGCGAGATGAAGTTCACTTGATTTGTAAGGATTTAGAAAACAAAGAGGCTTAGAAGACAGAGAGGACAAAGTGGATAGAAAATAAATGTCAGTCTGAAGAAAGACTAAAGTGTTGCAAGACACAGAAAAATGAATACTTCATATCTAATGAGAAATTGTATTATTAAAGAAACAAGTTCAATCAGACACCCAAAGAGGTAGATAAGCAAGACCATTTTATGGATAAATTATTGCGGTGACTGGACATGTAACAGAAATTAACCTCCAATTGTGATCTCTTGGCAATTACAGTTTTTTTTTTACTCGTACTCGAACACACATTTTCATATTTGTGGAGAGAATGAAAATCTGGATTCATGAGGGCTAAACTGTACCCCGAAACATTTTATAAAAGTACTGAAAGAGAGGGGAACAGACAGAGCAAAAGAAGACAGACAGGAGGTAAACACTAACAGGAACACGATACGGCTTTGCAGTGTTTAAAGACTGCTTAATGGAAAATAAAACGTGAACAGACTTGGACGGATACAGAGAACCTCGATCAGTGCTGCCGTGATGTTAAATAATGTTGCTAGTGGCGCCGTTCCAGCCGATACGCAGTGGATCAAACTATTTTAATGATGTAATCAATAAAATAGTGTTTAAACAATATTGTGGATCAAGTTGTTGGATTAATTAGTAGCCTTGTTATAAGTGGGATAATGTGCAGCAAGGCGGTTATTAATGACAATAGAAAACCTTCATGTTGATGTTAGATCATTCCTCTTCGCGTCAGGATGCTGATCACCATGACAGTGTTTTCTTTTTATTAATGACCGCCTTGCCGCACATTATCACTTACAAAATAATTTCCAAATGTTTCAGAACACCAGCATGCACCATGCGTCTCTCAAGCTTTATCTTTGCCTCATGTTTCTCCTTCTGCACCCTTAACCCAACTCTCAAACGTTGTAAACCTCTAATTTTGATTTTTAGCTAATTGCTAACCTTATAAAGCGTTTTCTTTGTTTGACTGCAGCCTCTTCATTGAAGTCATTTCCACTCATTGTATTGTTTCAGTGAAGCACTCTGTAACGTTGGCTCTAAAAAGGTGCTGTATAAACCCTTAATGACTTACTGGGGCCCAGGTCAGAGTCCTGCACGGGTCTGATTTTCAAGACCCGCTCCCGCCCCGCACCCGCGACGTGCAATACCGAACCCGCCCCGCTACCCGCACATATTGCCAATTAGTTCCGCAACCCGACCCGACCCGCCGACACAAGATCCGCAACCCGACCCGAACCCGCATATATATAAGCAGTGAAAACGTGCAATTATTAACACACGCAGTTGCATATTTGGCTCAAAAAGCCTGGGATGTTGGTTATTCTCTCCATCTAGGATGACACCAAAAGCCTCCCAGACGTTGGATTTCGCTCTTGAGGAAGTGTTGGAAAATGCTGTATTCTCCGCTAGAGAGCTTCACCTCAGCCATTCAGAATGTGGCGCGCTCAGCAGAAGATAGATGCACTGCAGAGGTTATGATTATGCTCGGTCCCGCGGGGGAGAGGTCTA